TAATGTTAATTGGTCAGAGAGTTAACTTGGGATAGCTGGCCACAGAATCTACTTTCATTCTAGTGAGTGTGTGAACGTGAGAACTCCTGGTGAAGGGCCCACCCTAGATAATCTCCAGGGCCCTTTCCAACTCTACAGCATATGGCCTATTATCCCCGAAGAGCCACCTTCCTAGGTAGGCAATGGATTCCATTCCCAGAGTACTTAAGTACAGTACCCTCCTTTTCAGCCCAGGAGGTGTACCACCTTCTAGACTCCTGAATCCACACACAATATTCCCCCACTCAGTAATTCAAAGGCTAGACAAGGGCTGAATATGAGCAGTGCCTCTCCTATTCCCATGTCACCAAGCTGCATTAGCCTCAGAGATAGAACTGTCCCCTCAGGCTGTCTTTGAAAGGTCTATGCCTGAGTTCCTTACTGAGGAGATCTAAATATCAACTCCCCCAACCTGCATCTCATGGATTAGACAACAGTAGGTCCCTGCCCAAGCACAACTTTATGGTTATTTTTTGGGGCCTTCTAGCTCAGAGTGAACATACATAGTAACAGTTTCTCTTTTGGCCAGCAACCCTGTGGGTCTTCCCCTCCCAGTTTGATTTTTTTATTATTATTAAAAGGGCCATCCTTTGACTCACTTCTTAAAGAGGCCAATTCACTGAATGGGCATTGCCTCACTCGAAGTGAGAACTTGAAAAGACCTTAGCTTAAAAAGGCTGGGGTCTCACTTTGCATCCTGGGCCATCTCCAGTCGTCCTGATGAATATCTGGCCCCTGGACTCAGATGGCTGTGGAAGAAAAAGTAAGGCTGGTGACTTTGCACAGCCCTCCCTCACTCAAATCAAAGTCAATTGCAAGTCATGCCATCATCTCCCTAATGTCATGGTCCTCTTCAAGAATGAAGGATGGGAGCGTGGAGCCAAGGTGGCGGAGGGAAAGCAGTGACTGTCTTGAGCTCTCTCCCAAAGCCCTCCAAATACCTAAAAAAAATGACTCTAAACAAATTCTAAAGCAGCAGAACCCACAAAAAGAGAGAGTGAAACAAATTTCCAGCCTAAGACAACCTGGATGGCTGATCGGGAAGGTATATCACACCGGATGGAGAGAGGAGCACAGTTCGGCATGAGCGCGCAGGCCACAGAGACCCTGGAGCAGGCCTCAGAGGACTGAATCGCAGGCAGCTGTGGCGGTTTCCAGACTTCTCAACCGCTGAACACCAAAGACAATTTAGAAGGTCAGTGGGAAAAGTCTGTGACTATGGTGAGAGAGGAGTTAGGTCTCAGACACATGTCTTGAGCGCGGCCTGGGGCCACGGCTTTTTCCTGAGCTTCTGGCCTACAGACTGAGGGGAAATCAAGTGGTTGATCAGAGGGGGTTTGCAGGGATCTCTTTGCCAGTGCTGACGCAGGAATCTCTTGCTTTACCGGCGCTTGGATCTGGGTCACAGTTCTCAGGGGCGGTCCTGGGGCGAGGAGGAGCGCTGGTGTAGTGGAGCTTGTTGTGGTGGTGGAGAGGAAACACCCCGCCCCTTATCATAGCACCTTGGAAGAACTGAAAATTTACAGGTCCCTAGAAGTACCTCTGAAAACAGCTGTACAAACCCCCTAAACTTGGGACAGTACACTCTTCACATTGAAAGCAGACTTGTATCTTAACAAAGAGTTTAAAACTCAAGTAATTGGCCAGGATCATGAGTAAGCAGCACAAAAAGACTCAGACTATATTATCTTACTTTGGTGACAAAGAAGATCAAAACATACAACCAGAAGAAGACAACAAAGCCAAAGTTCCTACATCCAAAGCCTCCAAGAAAAATATGAATCAGTCCAAAGCCTTGGAAAAGCTCAAAAGGGATTTTGAGAAGCAAGTAAGAGAAGTAGAGGAAAAACTGAGAGTGATACAAGAAAATCATGAAAAACAAGTCAACAGCTTGCTAAAGGAGACCCAAAAAAAATACTGAAGAAAATAACATCTTAAAAAATAGCCTAAGCCAAATGGCAAAAGAAGTCCAAAAAGTCAATGAGGAGAAGAATGCCCTAAAAGGCAAAATTGGCCAAATGGAAAAGGAAGTCCAAAAGATTACTGAAGAAAATACTTCCTTAGAAATTAGAATAGAGCAATTGGAAGCTAGTGACTTTATGAGAAATCAAGACACTGTAAAACAAATCCAAAAGAATGAAAAATTAGAAAACAATGTGAAATATCTCATTGGAAAAACAACTGACCTTGAAAATAGATCCAGGAGAGAGAATTTAAAAATTATTGGACTATCTGAAAGCCATGATCAAAAAAAGAGCCTAGACATCATCTTTCAAGAAATTATCAAGGAAAACTGTTCTGGTATTTCAGAACCAGAGGGCAAAATAGAAATTAAAAGAATCCACCGATCACTGCCTGAAAGAGATCCCCAAAGGAAAACTCCTAAGAACATTGTAGCCAAATTCCAGAGTTCCCAGGTCAAGGAGAAAATATTACAAGCAGCCAGAAAGAAACAATTCAAGTATTGTGGAAACACAATCAGAATAACACAAGATTTAGCAGCTTCTGCATTGAGGGACTGCCAGGCATGGAATATAATATTCCAGAGAGCAAAAGAGATAGGATTGCAACCAAGAATCACCTACCCAGGAAAACTGAGTATAATCCTTCAGGGGGAAAAATGGTCATTCAGTGAAATAGAGGACTTTCAAGCATTCTTGATGAAAAGACCAGAGTTGAATAGAAAATTTGACTTTCAAATACAAGTGGAACATGAATAGGTAAACAGGAAAGAGAAAATCATAAGGGACTTATTAAGGTTTAACTGTCTACATTCCTGCATGGAAAGATGATATTTGTAACTCATGAGACCTTTGTCAGTATTAGGGTAGTTGGAGGGGAAAAAAATTTTATGTACGTATATATCGATATAGATAGATAGATAGAGGGCAAAAGGTGAGTTGAAAATGAAGGGGTCATATCTGGAGAATAAAATTAAGGGGTGAGAGAGGAATATACTAGGAGAAGGAGAAAGGGAGAGGTAGAACGGGGTAAATTATCCCACAAAAAAAAAACAGAAAAGAAAAGGCTCTTATAGTGGAGAGGAAAATTGGGGAGGGTGAGAGGGAATGAGTGAATCTTATTCTCATAGGATCTGACTTAAGGAGGGAATAACATACACACTCAATTGGGTGTGGAAATCTGTCTTACCCTAAGGGAAAATACAGAGGGAAGGGGACAAGAGAGTAGGGGAATGATAAAGAAGAGGGCAGATTGGGAAAGGGAGTAAACAGAAGCAAATACTTCTGAGGAGGGACAGGGTCAAAAGAAAGAATAGAATAAATGGGTGGGCAGGATAGGATTAAGAGAAATGGAGTTAGTTTTTCACAGCATGTCTACTATGGAAGTGTTTTGCATAACTGCACATATATAACCTATATTTAGTTGCTTGCCTTATCAATGAGGTGTGGGTCGGGAGGGAGGAAGGGAGAAAATTTGGAACCCAAAATTTTAAAAACACGTTTAAAAAAAATGTTTTCACATGCAACTGAGAAATAAGAAATACAGGAAATGGGGTACAGAAATCCATCCTGCTCTACAGGAAAATTGAAGGGGAAGGGGATGAGAGAAGGGGGTAGTGATAGAAGGGAAGGCAGATTAGAGGAAGGGGTATTTAGAATGCAGGCCATCTTAGGGTGGGGAGGAGCAAGATGGGGTGAAAATTTAGAACTCAAAATCTTGTGGAAGTAAATGTTGAAAACAAAAAAATAAATAAAAAATTTACCATAAAAAAAAAAAGAATGAAGGATAAACCACAACCACAACCCCCAACCTAAGATGAGGACAGCTTTGTTAGAAGGATTTGCTGTAGGTCTTACAGTATAGGTATATGTACAGTATAGGTAGGGGAATTTGAAAGTCTCTTCCAAGAAGACTTCCAGAGGTCAGATGGATGTCTTGTTAATTGGCACTTTCATCCCCCATTCTTAATAAACTCTGGCCAACAAATTTTGAATTTGCAAATTAAAAATTTAAAGGACTAATTTAGTTAATAGGCTCTGAAATTCTTAGCTTAAGGAGCATATTACAAGAGCACAGATTTAGACCAGAATAATATCCTTAAAATCATCTAGTCTAACTCTCTTGTACTCTAAGGGAAGAAACTGAGGCTCAAGAAGGCTGTGACCTGCTCAAAGTAGTGACAGAAAGTAGATAGTAGAGCTGGATTTTAACCCAGGTCCTCTCAAGGCCCTTCATGTGGCCTTGAGGCCGCAGGTTCCCCACCCGTGATCTAGATCTTATTAGACCATGGGTACTCAAGACAAAAGAAAGAGTGTAATAGCTAAAGAGTATGTAAGGGCCAAGTCAGGGATCCCCACACAGGAGAAGTAAATACAGGAACCTGCTGTGACCTAAGAATGGAGGCCAGGTTCCTGAGTGAGAAAATGTGGCAAAGAGCTACAAATGAAAAGCCAACTGTTAGGCAGGCACAGCCCCTCAAAAGATCAGTGCTATTATCTCCTCTAAAATTTCATATTGAACAGTCCTAGTTACCCTGTTAGGGTCATAGATAATAACTTTAGAGCTGAGCATCTAAGCCCAACCCTTTCATTTTACAGGAAATATTTTAGAGAAAGGTCACCAGAAGTTTTGTCTAACCCCTGTGATGAATGTTTTTCATGGACTCCCATCTCTAATTTTACATCAAAAGTTACATTACAGCAAAACTTGCTGGGAAATTTCCATTCAATAAAGCAAAGGGCTTTTACACTGTGATGTTTATGTGAATTAGAAATTAGAAGCCAATCTTTGCATCATGGTTGATAGATTTTATCTGTATAGGCAAGTGCTTTCTCTAATTATCTATAAGCAAGGGTTGATTAACTATGTAGGCCTCAAGGAGGGTGAAATTTCTTGTTTGTAATTTTTTTAAAAATTTGATAAAGTATTATTTAGTTTTGCTGTCAGAATTTCTAAAGTTCCTGGTATATGAGTTTTACTCAGAAATTGTCCTTTTTCAGACTGGAGGAACAAATTAGATCGTTTTTGGAAGATCAAGATCCAGAGAGTAGGCTAGAGGTGGGATCTGACATGCGTAAAATCCACCACTGCTTCCATTATTTAAAGGTAAGTATGAAAGGTGAATACTAGAAAACTCATTTTTGTCGTATTCAAACTTCAGCTAGTCTGAGCTCTGCACAGTGGACCCGCCTCTTACAGATGTAACAGAGAAGGACTTCTTAAAATCCCTGAACGAGATTCAAAATGTCCAAAGTGAAATCAGCTAAGCCAGACTGTTCTCAAGAGCCTCTCAGGAGTTCCCCGAAAAGTTATGTCTTTTTATCTAAAAAATATTCCCAGGCATTCTCAAATGTCATTCTTGTGCTGGACGTCTCCACTTTTCGTAAAGTGTACTTCCTTGTGTCTTCCAAGCTGTATCAGGAGAGCTGGGTCCTAAATTTCTCATTGGTTTTGATCCTGCCCTACCTGTAGCCCCCGTTCTGGCTGGTTTTCCTTATGGGGAGGCAAACTGTTTAGCCTAAAGTTCTGCCTTATCTGTATGTTTTATAAGCAAATAGAACACATTATCTCTGATCCTAATGTTTTATGCATAAAAGGCACTTCAGTCACATTTGTTCAGTTGACTTCATTGGTCCCTTCAAATCAATATGCTCTTCCTGTGAAGGAAGAAAATAACAGAGAAAGAAAGAAAAATGAGATAGAGAGAAGGCGTGCTGAGTTTTTATTTTTTCATCTTACAGAAATTGTTGAGTGAAAGAAAGATTCCTGAAAAAAGTGAACCCTCCCCTGAAATCAAAGACCAAGATGGAGAAGTGCCATTAAAGGAGGAAGAATTTAAAAAACTGAGAGATATCCTGAAGCAGCGAGACAACGAAATTAGTATCCTTTCTGAAATCCCAGGAAAGCCTCCCCTCCTTTGGAGGAGTGGGGTGGGGGAGAGTGCCTGGGTCTTCAAAGACTCTCTGCTCACGTGTTGTCCATCCTTGGAAGTTGGCCCCTCCCTGCTTCTCTTTCATATTGCCTCCTTTAGTTTGTGGCTAAAAACATCCTTCTGGCAAACAAAATACATGAAGAGTGGGAAAGTGTGATGCTGTATAAGAAGAGTTTATTACCTTATGAAGAAGAGAATTTCCTGGGACTGTTATTTTTAGCCTTTTGCAATGCTCCTGTAGAGACTCCTGTATGGTCTTCCGTTAGCTGAACACAAAGCTTGGGCTCTTTGCACCTCACTGTAATGTTTCAATTAAAACTGACATTGGTATTTTTAGAGAAAATTCAACCACCCTGTTTCACTCTCTCTGTTTTAGTGCCGAGCTATAACAACCGACTATAGGAAGGAAGGGCAGTTTTCTTTAGCTGGATGACAGAATTACAGGCTGACCACAGTGTTGCCATGGCCCTGAGTTTGTGGCTGGCGCGTGGGTGAAACTCAAAAGATGGCTGAAAAATGACCAACGGTATGTAGCTTAGGAGGAGCAGAGATTCATTCAGATGCAGCTTTTATTTAAAAACTAGATGAACTGCTTTGGGTTCTAGTTACAAATACTGGCAAATTGAGGAATTTGAAGTTAGTAAGTATGAATCTTCAAGAGAGAAGTCTCATTTTCTCTGGTGGCACTATGTGCCCAGGGTGCTAGAAATGATAAGAAAACCTCTGGACATTTATGCTCTAGGAAGAGTGGCTACTTTTAAAGGGGGCACTTTTGTGTTAATTGGACTATGGAATACCTCCAATGCCATTCCTTAATTTAGCTTTTATCCATTATAACAGACACCTTGTTATCTTTATATTTATTAGATACAATTACGCCACATCTTTACTATCTCTGTTAGTTCTGCATAAACAAAATCATGACTCTCTTTTGCTCCATGACCTTATACTATATTTATGTTGAGAATCACCTAAATCCTTCTAATTTCAACTGTTTTGCAAATATATAAAAACAATCTATATAAAGAAATCCAAAGATTAAGAAGAGGTAAAGAACAAATCAAGTACCAGTAAAGCCTATTATCTCATTAACTTCAGTTTCCATTTTAGACTGGTATGTATTTTAGCCGTTCTGGATTCCAAGGCCTGAGACAGCTGGTGCCTTTCTCAATTGATAATCACCATTATATCTCTTCTTGTCTACAAGCATTATTGTCACTTCTCTGTCTCTATCTCTCCCGCTTTCTCTCTGTCTATTTCTGTCTCTGTCTGTCTGTCTGTCTCTCCTTTATTTCTCCTGTTACATGAGACTGCCCCAAGGATAGTTCTGTTGTGGAACACACAGGGGTTGGCAAATAGTAGATGCTTAATAAATGTTTATTTAGTGCCTGACTGATCCGATTTCTGGCCCCAGTCTGAGCTCTGCTTCTTCTCCTATTATTTATGATCTCAGCCTGAGATCTTCTCCAGTTTTCTAATTACCCATTTGTATTTGATACTATTATTATATGTCGTAGGAGTGGGATAAGGCAGGACAAAGACAGGCCACTGCAAGTCTATGAAAAAACCATGGAAGATGGTGCTTTCTTATTTTAGACTGTCATTTACCAAGTGTCATTGTTCATAAAGTATCCTCAGAGCAAATGGCTCTGCCGAATGGAGTTCACATTTTCTAACACACAGTGATGTATGTGTAGAGAATAGCTAGTCAGCAAGTAAAGATAATTTGTTTTAGATAATTAATTATTAAGGTTATTTCAATTAAATTAAGAATTATTTCAATATTTATAATATGTATAGGTCATGTTAATTGTATTAAAGGTTAATGTGTTCTGTAAGTTTCTTCATTTTTAGGCAGAATGAGATTGGGGAAGATATTTCCAGTTGATTAATCCAGGATGACTTCTTGGAAGAACTGCTTTAAGGTTGACTAGCTTTTAGGCTGGGGAGGGCTAAAGGGATATGGTAGCAGGTAGTATTCTATATATATAATGTGTATAATGTTACTTTGGAAAAGCATTGGCGGCAGTAGTAATATGATCAAATGAAGGGGCCACTGAGCAGATTAGGAGGCAGTGTGATAATAGTGGAAAGAGGACCTGGATTTTATGCCTAATTGGTATCCTGGTGGCATTAAGCAAGTCATTTAACTACTCTGGGTTTCAATTTCCTCAGCTGTAAAAGGATCTTGTGAGACTAAGTGACAATTCTGACTTTAAATCTCTGATCCTATGGAAGTATCCTGTGGGATCAGTTAATAAGTAGAAATCAAAAAAATGGGGATATTTGGGATAGCATGGTAAAAGTCTCTGAAGCCAATGATAAGGACCTTGTACTTGAACTTTAGGAGAGACTCCAACTCTAAGTAATGATGTACTTAGTACATAGAGTAGTAAGAAAGTGAGGAAGAATATGGCTGGTGGTGGTGGTAAGAAGATGCTAGAAAGAGATGATTCTAGGTATAGTGTGATCTTAGGAAGAGGTAAAAATTATTCGAGGGAGAGATTGTTAGAGTCCAGAGTGAGTCTTTCACAGATTGCAGGGATGGAGAAGAAGGAGTGGGTTCTCAAGATGAGAAAAAAATGACAAGATTTGGTTACTGAAATGTGTTGAGCACAGAACAGTAATGTACCAAAGATGGCAATAAGCCTTTTTATGTGGGAAGTGAGTGATTTGGTGTCATTTTTACAATGAGATTAAAACCAAACAGATCTCTCTTTTCTGGGTTGGTTTATTTTTTATTTTTTTTTATTTTTTTGGCTAGAATTGGTATTGAGACAACTAATTAAAAATGCCTTCTAAGTAGAATATTAGGCAGGACTAGATAATAAAACAAGCTAATGCTTATATAGTACTTTAAGGTTTGCAAAACACTTTTACATATGTCATCTAATTTGAACCTCACGACAATCTTGTGAAGTAGGTCCAGTTATTATCACATAAGGAAAGTGAGGCTGATAGAAGTTAAATGACTTGCCCAAGGTCACAGAGCTGGTAAGTGACTTAGGTGAGATTTGAACTGAGATCTTCCTGACTCTTAAGTTCAACATCCTATCAACTGTATGACCAGATGTATACTTACAGATTTATATTGGCATAGGTATTTGGTAGGCACTTGCATCTGCAGAGCTACAACAATTTATCAAGGGTCTTGGTATATAAAAAGAAAAGCAAGGAATCAAGGACGGAGTCCTTGAATTTTCTGAAAACCAGTAGAAAATGCAACAAACATTTATTTTGTGCTAACAGTGGGCAAAGCATGGGGTAAAGCCCTAGGAGATACAAAGTCTAGTTAAGATACAATCTCTGACTTTAAGGGATTTCCATTCTAGTGGCAGGAGTAGGGTAGAAGTGGGGATGGGGAGGGGAGGACAGGAGGTCAGTAACACCAATATCTATAATATATGTTCAGTGTGTTAGAGAGTTAAAATACAAAGTGCTATGTGAGATCTAAGGATGAAGGTAGTAGCTTTTTAGTTGAGGTTCAAATTATATGGTATGTATAAAGTGGTTTGCAAACCTTAAAGCACTATATATATTTTCAAAGATAAACAGGAATTTAGTAGCAGAATAATTTGAACTTGGAGTAGCAAAAAAATTCTTCAATCATGGTCAGCATTTGTGCCACACTGCCAGAATAAAACATACACACACACACACACACACACACACACACGCACACATGCACGCACGCATGCACATATCCCTCCTTTCTGTTACAAATTCATAATCCCTTTTCTCAGGGAATGTACTTAAAAATATTTGAGTATATATTAGAAAGTATTATGTGTAATCAAAATGTATTAATATAAATTTTAAAAAGAGCTTAATGTAGTATGAAGAATGGATTGAGGAAGGAAGAGGAGACAGAAAAAAAGACCTGTAAGAAGACTGTGGCAGTAGCTACCAAATTGGGTGATAATGAAGACTAAATGAGGATAATGGCATTAGGGATAGAGAGTAGAGGAATGGATGTGAGATGTGCTGTGGAGGTGGAATTGATAAGACCAAGTAACGAAGAGAGAGAGAGAAGAGTCAAAGACGAGCAAACAGATATGAATATGAGAGGATGGGTGAATGGTGATACCATGGACAGAAATCGTGAAGAGCACTGGATTAGCAGGTTTAAAGGGAAAGGAACTGAGCTTAATTTTGTTGAATCTGAGTTGCTGACAACTCCGTGTCTTGGTTGAGAAGTCCTATAGGCAGCTGGAGAGGTGGGTTTGAGGCTCTGAAGAGAGGTTAGGACTAGAGTATAGATTTATGAGGCATTTCCCCAACAATAGTAGTGGAAACCAGTAGAAGCAAACGAGATTGCCAAGAAAGAAAGTATAGAGGGAAAGAGAAGGGCCAAAAACAGTCTCTTGGGAAATTCATACATTAAATGGTCAGGAATAGGATGAGAAGCCAGTGTATAGTGAAAAGATTGTTAGGGAAGTAGAAAAAGAACCAAGAATGTGGTGTCTAAGAAGCCAAATTGTAAATGTGAAGTGAGGAAGTGAAGAAAACTTTAAAAATGGAGGAACTATATGGAACAATAACTGGATGGGCTAGAAAAAGAGTGAAGAAAATGATTTTTTTCTAGGATTAGGGAAATCTGATCTTATTTGGAGGCAAATAGAAAGGAACTCATGGCAATGGCAATATTAAAGATGCATTAGAAAGAAAAGATGGAGCAATCACTTGGAGCCATTGGGAATGAATTATTTAATCAAGAGTGCAGGTATTAATATCTCCTTTTTGGGAAGTCTAGAGGGAAGAAGTACAGAAAAGTTGATGGTACTGGAATGCTTGAAGATTGGAGGTAGGGAGCAAAGGGAGTTCATTTCAGGTGATTGCAGTCTCAGTGAAAGTTGGGTCATTGACTCTAAGTGTAAGAGTGGAGCATGGTGTGTGTCTGGTTGAGAGGAAAAGGTTTGGGATACTTACTATGGTGAATGAAATAAGGAGTTGTTAAGAGTAGAGTAGGACATGTTGATTGTCCATCAACAGCGTAGACTCAGCAGGGATTTTCTACCATAAATTTGTAGTACCTGAAATGCATTCAGACTCAAGAATTTCCAATAAATGTAGTCTGGTAATTTATAGCCTTAAAACTATAATAATGTCTGTTCTTAGAGAATTGCGTGATACTGAAAGCTTAAGTGACTTGCCCATAACTGCATGGCCACTGTGTCTAAAAGACAGAACTGGAACTAAGGTCTTCCTAACTATTCCCACTATTTCATGCCATGTCTCAGGGCAGCAGTTAATGAGACATTCATATGATGAACTCTGGGGTCAAAACTGAATATGAAGACAAGCAAAGCCAGAATAGAGCAGGTATGCCAAGAGGATAGAGATGGGGCAAAGGACTACGAAAAAGATGAATAAATTTAGTGTCCATGAGAAAGTGGGGGAAGTAGGCTAAGAGCCTGTGGTCACAGAACAGAATGTCCTGATCTTTGAAACTGTGCCATTCCCAAAGGTGATGGAGTCCTAGGCATGACTGTGACATTTCTGCTTGAAGTGGAAATAAAGAGGGTGATTTCTGGAGTGCAGGTTAAGGAATTTTTGTGTGTTTATCTTGTCAGTGTGAATATTGAAGTAAGATGACAGGGGATGGGGTAAAGAGGAAGATAGTGCTGCAAATACTGAAGTCATGATACTAATTGGGAATATGACCTGGAAGTTAATAGAAGACTATAACAAACATGGGGAGAAGTTAGTACAAATACTGACTGTATGGTCTTCAGAATGAGAAAGGTGCCTTAGGAATGGTGATAATGAATAGTCTGGAAGCTGAAATAAAGAGCAAAAACGAGTCAGGCCCTGATTGGCTCAGAGTGAACATAAATATCAATTGTTTCTGTTTTGGACAGAAACCTTGAGGGTTTTCCCCTCCCAAATTAATTTTTTTTTGACTATTCAAGGGTCATTCTCTGCCTCATTTCTTACCTAGCCTTAATCACTGAATAGGCCTTGCTTCAATCAAACTGAGACCTGTTAAAGACCTTAGCTTAGAAAGGTTAAGGTCTCCCTACTGCATCCAGGGCCATCTCCAGTCATCCTAATCTATGTCTTGCCACTAGACCCAGATGTCTGTGGAGGAGAGTGAGGCTGGTGACTTTGCCCAGTCTTGCCTCACTTAAATCCAATTCACTTGCATGTCATGACATCATCTCCCTGATGTCATGGTCCTCTTCAAGAATAAAGAATAAACAACAACAACCCTGGGTGATGGAGCAAAAAATCGAATAGCTTTCTGGTCATCTGAATTGTGAGCTGTATGGAGAGACCATGGGAAAGCCAGGTTTCTATTAAAGTGAATAAGTAAGGAGGAATGTTGTGTGAAAATGTTCAAGATGTAGTTTATTAACAACAGAATCAGCATTTCAAAGGACACTATAAAATGGACTAAGTAGCTGAAGAACCATATCAGAGTGGGACCAAGGAAGAGGGATAAGTAGAATAGGGGTAAGGCTTCAGGAGAATATTACTCATGTTTAAGGTGGTCATCTGGTCAGAGCAGATGACTGGAAATGGGAAGCCAGTACCACAAGCTTGTGACATGCACAATTAATGATCTTAAACAGTAGAGGATTTGCAGAGTTAATCCATCCCAGAGTCTAAGATAGATTTTAGAGTGCTACTATTTTGGTGTAGATTTCCAAGAGATTTCTCCATCAGGGGAGCTGCTTCTTGTGATTCAACAAACATTATTTTGATGAAATATCTCTGAATATACTTGAAGAAGTAGAAAGAGAAACAATGGGGAGACCACTGTAAGACTATCTATTAGAAGGCCAAGGAATAAGATTATCAATTATTTTGAGGTACAGTTTCTGTGGTGGAAGTGTGGAGTACAGAAACAGACTAGTGGAGTGTAAGGAAGAATTGACTGTTAGAAATGACAAACACAGGCATGTACAGAATGTTTCTACAAGTTAAAGGAAAATATGGGTCACGAGCTAAAGAGTGAAGACAGGTTTGTCATTACTTGTCCCTAGAAATAGTGTAGTTAAGGAAGCTTAGAGAACTGGCAGATTTGATTGTGAAGACAGTGCCTGTGATCCCTGAAAGATCATGGATAATGAGAGATGTAGGACAGGAAAAGGGCAAATAGCATGATTTAAAAAAAAAAAAAAGGAAGATAATAGAGTCTGCAAACTATAGACCAACAAACTTGACTTTGATTCTTGACAAAATTTTAGAAAGAAGGATGAACAATGACAACAATATATTATTAAAAGAATGAATTATTAAAGAATGATTAATGTACATCTAGAAAAGGAAGCTGTAATCGCGTTGGATGGAATGGCCTCACTCAGAGCAAATTATGGTGGATGAACTTCATTTCCTTTTTTTTTTTTAAAAAAACAAGGTTGGGTCTAGTAGATTCAGGTAACTTCTGTGTAGTTTACTTAGATTTTGGCAAAGCATTTGACAAAGGTATGTTTTCTTGTGGGCAAACTAGAGAGATGGGCTCTAGACCAGTAGTTCTTAAACATATTGGTCTTTACACTCTTAATAATTATTGAGGATCCCAAAGAGTTTTTGCTTATGTAGGTTATATCAATATGTTATTTTAGAAATGATAATTGATGTGTTTTAAATATTTATTATTTTAAAATAATAAACATATTACATGTTAAATATTTATTAATTATTTTAAAATAATAAACATATTACATGTTAACACAAGTAACATTTTTGTGAAAAACATGTTTTGCAAAACAAAAAAAATTGGTGACAAGAATGATATTCATTGTGTTACATGTTTTTGCAGAGCTCTTTTAATTTCTAGCTTATCAAAGAAAACTAGATCTTCATCTGCTTCTGTGTTTAATCTGTTGTAATATGTTTGCTTGAAATATATAAAAACTATCTAGCCTCACATAAATGTGTAGGTGGAAAAGAGAAGAGTATTTTAATAAGCAAATAACATCTTAGTATTATTATGAAAATCATTTTGGCCCCACAGAACCCCCTGAAAGGGTCTCAGGCACTCCCAGGGTCCACAGACCACACTTTGAGAACCCTTGCACTAGAGAATAACACAATTATGTTAGTGTTAACCCCAGAGGGTCTAAATTTGGATGTCGTGGAGCACACCATGGCAAGGATGGTCACAGCATAGAAATTTTTAGAACAATAGAAAAGATAAGGAGGCGAGTGGGAGATGGGTGATTCCAAACTGTAGAAAGAGCTCCTGTAACATCCTTGAGAAGCAAACTAGCTGTAGAGACACTTCCCAGCATTGTAGGTTTGATCTGGGCAGAAGCCTCACTGAGCTAGGCCAGAGATGTCCTTTTTGTGAAATGGAGTTCTTTGAGAACAAGCTCAGTAATTAGATCTTGTGCAATAGCTGTCACCCAGTGGTTTAGCTTTTGACTGTTATACAACACATAAGGACAAATAAGGGAACTCCAAGCCACTGACTTCAGGCACAGTTGACCATCTGTATAAGGTCTGAAACCAAAAGAGACCTCTTATTTTCTCTGTTTTTGTTACAGCGGAATTCTCTGTGGGCTCCAGTTATCAAATTCTTTTGGAGTTCTGAGGCTTCATATACACATATGTGTACATGTATTATACACATATATGTATAGATGTGTATATATGTATATATACACATATACATATACATAAACATACACACACACATATATCTACCCATATTAAATAATAATGTAACATAATACAATATAATTTCTTCTCAAATATGTCCCTGCTGGGGCAGCTAGGTGGCTTAGTAGATAGAGTACTGGCCCTGGAGTCAGGAGGACCTGAGTTAAAATCCAGCCTCAGACACATAACACTTACTGGCTGTGTGACTCTGGGCAAGTCACTTAACCCTAATTGCCTCATATATATATAAAAAAAATATGTCCCTGCTACCACCAAGAGTGAGGAAAGAAGAGAATAATCTGAGTTTTCCATCACAAAGTCGTTTTCCTACTTCCTAATCACTTTTTCTCTCTCCACTGGCTCCTTACCCTCTTCCTGACCCTTCAATAGAGGCATATCCCAAGGAGCTGTATCAGTGTTCTAGTGAAAAGCCCTCCTTCATAATGTGCATCTTAAAAATTATCTGTATTAACAAATTACATTCTTTTCATTTTTTTTGGAATCGAGGATAGAGATTTTTTAAAATGTGTTTTTCAGCTATATTGACTGCATAGTAAATGAATAAATGTGTATTTTATGTTTTTATAAAAACCCTTTTAATTGGAGCCATTAATATCCAGTCTTTGGAGTTTATACAATTTAAAGTTGACTATGACAGTATGAAAAGGTTCAGTTGTGTTTACTGGTATTCAGGCACACTAACACAAGGTGAATAGCTTCTTATGAATGTTCATAAGCCTTTCCACAACTTCAATAATTTGCAGTTTCTCTCTAGTCACTTTACCAATGTGATAAATGGCAAATCTCAATAAATAAATTGTAATACAAACTCCTTAAGTCAAGTTTCAGATATTCTGGTAAATATGCTTAAAAAGGAAAAGAAGAAAGTCCAAGATATGTTCAACCAACAGAATACTAGCAGGGGAGGGACGAGGCAATCACTGAGCGCCTCCCCATTAAGTGGAGGCCTAGACGACTCTTCAAAGGTATCAATATCGAGTACCTCAAAACTGATCCGTGATGGTAACTCCTTGGACTACAGGTCTGCTTTTCATCGCAGGAAAACAGGTCAGTTAAATAAGTTTCAAGTATTTCTAATATAGATTATTAACTGCAAAATAGCTTTCTTCAGTTTGAAACATATAGGAATGCATGCCATAGCAAGGTCTATGCTGGTGTTCTTTTCTAATAACTCCCATGTCTTTTACATTCAGTTCCATTTGCCCAAGCTATAAATTGAACTGAGAAATCCAGTGAATTGGGTTTTTTGCTTTTTATACCACACACCCCCCTCCCCCCCCCAAATGAGCAAAGCCTAAACTAGACTGGAATATAACAACAAGATCTAAAAAGATCACTTGTCAAAGCCCTGTTGAGTGGTACAGGCAGAGGCTAAATGTAGCAGGCAATGAGAAATTGATGGCCAACCACCCTGGCCTGATGCTAGAGTCCCCAGGAGATCCAGCAATGAAGGAAGATTAAAGAATCCCTAATCCAGGGAAGCAGGCAAACAGTGAAAACAAACAGAAGCCCAGTTAAACAAGACTAAATCTCAAGGGAAGTAATTAAGACAAAAAAGGAAAAAGAAAAAGAAAACAAGCACTGGAAGGTGAGAATGGAAGAGTCTTCTAAAACTGTCCTTTTGCCTTTACTTCATGACTCCTTGTCTAAAACTAACTTGCTCTCCAGTTCTGAACCAGTACTAGCACTTACATGCTTTGAATGTCGGAACCACTGACAAACAAGACCTAGGAAAATGAAATGGTGGACACCTGAGGTAGCATGATGCCATGGAAAGACTGCTGAATTAGAACGCAGGGGTCCTGGGTTTGAACACTGTTAGGCTATTATTATATCTACCCGTTTGGTCTGGGGCAAATCATTTAACCTCTCTTCAGTAAAATTAGAGAGTTGAACTGGATGACTTCTAAAGTTCCCTCCAGTTCTAAATCTGTGATCCTATGATACCTTCCCCAGGGGTGTGTCTTCTAAACTGTTTAGTGATCCAATGGCTTCCCTGCTTCCAGGTTATGAAGTACTGCCATGATTCCATCTCAGGTAGATATTGCAAGCCACATGGTTTATTTTGCTGTATTTGACACTTAAAGCCCTTCACAAGCTGGCTCCAGACTTAGTTCCTATTACTCCCCTTAACACATTCTGCTTTGCAGACAAACTGACCTACTTGCTGTTATTCTATCTCCTGCCTCTGTGTATAGGCTGTCCTCCTGCCTGGAATGCCCTCTGGGCTAATTTCTTTCTCTTAGAATCCTTTGTTTCATTTAAGGCTTAATACATGTGCCATGTCCTTCTTAAGAAAGACTAAGAAGTCTTTCTTAATTCCCCTAATTGTGATACTCTTTCCATTCTCAAATTATCTTGTATTTACTTACATGTTTATTTATATGTTATCTCTCTTCTTCCCTTTCCCTTTCCTTTCGCCTCCTCCCATATAAGCTCCTCCTTGGCAGGAGCAGTTTTTTTTATTTTAAATTTTTGTTTTTGGTCCCCAGCCCCTAGCACAGTGCTTTGCACATAGTTGGTGTTTAATAAATATTTATCGTATGATTGAATAAGAATCAGTGGGCCTTTCCTATCAGCATATTGGATAAGACCAATTCATCACTGTTCTTTTACCATTCATCTTATACCAAGAAATACTTAATAAATAGTGTACCCAAAAGCTATTTTTTCTTTCTTCTTGTTTTATTTTATTTTTTCATTATAAATGTAAAAAAAAAGTGGTCTGTTTGGTAATTTCATTGCCAAATAACTCAAAAGATTCTGATTTCTGATTATCCAGGCCATAAGGTATTTATCAAAGAGACAAAAAATGATAAAAAAGGAGCCATTTCCTTTTAAGTGGAATCCATAGAATATTATCTACCACACTTCATCATGATTCATATTGGCATAATGAAGGATGTTGGTGATGAAAGCCAAAAGTTATGGCTGCCATTTTGATTTTCTACATAGGAAGGAGAATTAGAGTAAACTACTTCTTTAATCTACCTTCTCTAAACACCATCAAATCACATTACTGTAAACTTTCTTATTATTCAACATGTCAGGAAAATGGGCTTTTCTGGGTAATTAAAGTATTTTGGTTAACAGAAATTACCAATTTTCTAAGAACAGAAGAAAGTAAAATACATTTAAAACTAAAACTATACTGAGGATAATTGTCTCTTTTTTTTTGGTGATTCAGAAGGAATTTTAGGATTTTGTTCAGCAGTATCTCAAAATCATTATAAGGATGAGCTTTCATTGCCCTGGAGGTATACATATATGCTACTTGAGCTAGAGAAACTACTCCGAGTAAGAAGAGGAATAGGAGCATTTACAAAAGATAAATGTATAGCTTTGATTGTATGAAACTTAAAATCTTCTGCACAACAAAATCAATACACCTAGGACAAGAAAGGAAATGTCTAGATGTATCAGATCTGGTATGAGTTTGGTGTCCAAGATATATAAATAACTTACAGACATATTTAAGACCAAAAGTAATTCACCAATAGATTAATGGTCAAAGGATTGGGGGAGGGGAGGGGCAGTTTTCGAAAGAAGAATTGAAGTCTATTAACAGCCCTCTGAAAAGACGCTCTAAATTACTACGAGTAAGACAAAAGCAATTCAAAACAGCCTTCAAGTTTCACCTCACATCCTGAAAAACAGCAAAGTTGAGAAAATACAAGTAGTCAATAGTGGAGGGGTCAAAGAAAGATAAGCACATTACTGCATTGTTGGTAAAGAAATTATTTCAGTAGAACCACTTTGGAAAGCAATTTGGAATTATGCAAAACAATGACTAAAGTGTTACCTTTCAACCCAAAAATTACACTAGGCTTATATCCTAATACCCAAGGGGGTTATTGATAAGAAGAAAGCTCCCTTCTATATCAAAATATTTGTAGCGGTGCTTTCTGTTATACCAAAGAATTGGGAACAAAGTAGATACCCATCAGTTGGGGAATGGTAAAGCCAATTGTGGTACATGAATGTCATGGAATATTACTGTGCTATAAAAAATTATGTATGTGATGAATATAAAGAAGCATGGAAAGATTTATATGAACTGATACAGAATGAAGTAAGCAGAGTCAAGAAAACAACATATACCATGACTATAACAAAGATGCCAATTATATTTATTTTTTCAAGTAGAAAGAAGCAATGTAGTATAGTTTATAGAGCACTGGAGTTGGAATCAGGAAACCTGGATATAAATCATACTTTAGATTCTTACTAGGTTCATCACCCTGGATTTAACTGTCTGTGCCTAATTTTTGTCATCTATGAAGTGGTGATGATAATAATATCTTGAGTATGCTATAAGTATCAAATGAGATCATGTCTATAAAACATTTTGCAAACCTTAAAGTACTAAAGAAGTGTTAGTTACTGTTATTTGAAAACTCTAGTTAACAGAAGATCAAGTAACATAGTTTTCACAGAATCAAAGAATCTCAGAGATGGGATTGACCCAGATGGGCACTTCTCTAACCAATATCGGAACAGTAACTCACTCAATGATAACCTGACAAGGTCATCTGACCTATATTTGAAAACTGCAATGGGAGGAGGACTCAGTACTTTATAACCTTAAAGCACTATATACATGCTAACTAATACTGTTATTATTACCTCCATAGGTATCTTGTTTCTCTTTGGGGCAGCTCTAATATTGGAAATTTTTTTCCTTCTATTGAGCTGAAATTTGTCATTATGAAACTTCTTCCCATCATTCCTAGTTGTTCCTTCTGGGGAACAAATAAAGCAGACCTAATCCTATTTCAAATGTTTAAGACATTTGTCAGGGCAGCTAGGTGGCACAGTGGATAGAGCACCGGCCCTGAAGTCAGGAGTACCTGAGTTCAAATCCGGTCTCAGACCAAACACTTGACACTTACTAGCTGTGTGACCCTGGGCAAGTCACTTAACCCCAATTGCCTAAAAAAAAAAAAAGACATTTGTCAAATCTTTTCTTCTCCATGCCACACACCTCTAGTTCTTTTGACTTATCCTTGTCTGGCATGATTTCAAGCTTTCTTGCTATCCATGATGCCCTGTTCTGCATGTGCTCTAACTTGTTAATGTACCCCTGAAAATATGGTATCTAGAAGTGCACAGTGTACTTCAGATGTGATCTGAATGGAGCAAAGTTCAACAGGACAACCCTCTTTCTTATTCCAAACAGTATGTTTCTATTAACATAAATTAAAATCATATTAATTTGTTGGCATCTGTTTCACACTGTTGACTCATACTGGTAGTTCTGCTGGGGAGATATGACTCATCCTGAAGTTAAGAGTCCACTGAAACTCCTCAGGTCTTTTGTCACATGAACTGTTTCTAGGAGCATCTTGTTGCATACACTGTCTTGGTTTTTAGAATGGAGGTATGAGACTTTTTTGGAAACCTCATTTTGTCTGATGGACAGCCTACCTGCTGTATTAGTATTTATGCAATTTTAAAGACTATGGAAAAAACAGTGTGTTAGATAAATCCTGAGGAGGATTTATAGAAAGACATGGACAAGAATCACACTTAATGAAATGATGGAAGAGGTCCTCATATCAATGAGATCATGGATCCCTCCAAATATTGAAGCAGGACTTTACATTTATCCGTAGTGAATTTCATCCTAAGAAGCCCATGGGTCTACCAGCTAGTCATTAAGAACTTTTGTGGGTCCCAGTTCTGTCTTCCAACTTGTCATCTCTCTCTAACTTGTGTCATATGCAAACTTGATAATCCTAGAATTTTACCCAAATCATTAATTTAAAATGTTTGATAGAATAGATTTAAGGAAAGGTCCTTGGGTACTTCACTAGTGACCATCTTCACAGTTGATATTTATCCATTATTCATCACTCTTTGGGTACAGTCCAAGGGTTCTTAATCTGGTGCCTGTTAACTTTTAAAAAATATGTATTTTGATAACTTTTGTTGTTGTTTAGTCGTTTCGGTTGTGTCCAACTCTTCATGACCCCATTTGGAGTTTTCTTGGCAAGGATACTAGAATGATTTTGTACTTCATGTCCTTCTCCAACTCATTTTACAAA